CAGAAAACACAGAAAGTTTGTGGGAGAGAGCCAAGGATATCAGTGGGAGAAGAGAGGAGGAAGAAAGGTTCTAGGGGAAGACTGAGGGTATTGCAGTGTGGTATGTAGAGGACTACAGGAAAAGCTGATAGTTTTGTGGCGATAAGGTGGGGGGCGTAAAGGTTTGGAGTAAGGGATGTCAGAGGATAGGTAGGCTGGAGATATTGCAGTGGGGAGAGCTATAAAGCACAAAGAAAATAAAAAATGTTGAACAGGTAAGGATATTACAATTCAATCAAAAGATTAAAAGAAAATCCAAAACGTGTTTTGCACAGGCTTCATTTGTATTGCTGCTTTCCAAACTGTGCTCACTTCTGAATCACAGCCAAGGGACTTCCATAACTAACAGCAACAAAACAGCTTTCCAAAGAGGCGATGTGACAGCACACTGAAAAGTTCTTGCCACAAATTTATCACCAGTGTTGCCATTAGCGCAAACTTCATTTAAACTGAGAACTACTGCCCTTCAGAGAGAGAGTTAGACTTGCCCATAGTAAAGGCATATACCAGTTTAATCAGAATTTGAATGCTCTGAGGGGCTTGACTTGACTTCACTTTTTGAGTAGAAATGTGGGGTTACAGAGACCCCAACAACAGGAACAGAAAGAAAGATGGCTTAGATAAATGTGTGCAGGCAAGGACCTGAGAACACCTGGAATGAGGGCTATTAATAAAGCAGTGAGTGAAAGCAGTTTGGTGCTGTAGGCACCCCTGCCGGGTCTTTCCTGTTTCTCCTCTTCTAATTAGAGTAATCCACAAAATTCTACCTGTCACTTTGGTGGGACAGTACACTGGAAGGATGAATCCACATCTACAGGAACCTGTCTACTGCCCGTTATGGGTCGTACAGCCTGTTTTACCATTTGTCATTTGACAAAGATATTTTAGTAGCAGTTTGCCCAAGAAAAAATCTTTAATCAATTCTCTAAAACCTGAATTACTATGCAGATATTAGAACAACTAAAGAATTACTAGGAAGCCACCTGACAGAAAATAATAACTTTCTTCTCTGGCCTAAAGACAGACTGTATAGCACTTTGGCCTCCAGCTGCGTTAGCTCAGACTAGCTGATAAGCAAAAGTAGCGCTTGTGTTATTTGACAACCTCACAACAAATTTCCTTGGTCTTTTTTTTGTATTAACATATAATAGATAACATTCTTCTTAACAGCTATACAGTCTAGTATTCACATAGCATGCAAGAAAATCTTTACAATGTCCACTTATGATCACTAGTAAGCCTTTCCACTGTGCAGAATTTTATGGTTTTGAGTTTACAGAAGTGTGTAATTGTTCAGAACAAACAGGCTTAGTAAGATGGTTTCTATCTGGTTTTAATTCTTCAGTTCCTAACTGTGCTGAACTATGACAGCCACGTTGCCCACAAAATTTCAGTGATGGAACAGACTCTTGGCACCATGGATAAGGTAATCCTAAGTGAACCACCACGTGAGACATCATTAGTTTAAATGCAACTCCACTCCTTTGTTAGCAAGAGGTGTTTGTGAGGAATAAATGCAACTGATGAATGCTAACTCAAGGACTGTTGGAGCATAGCCATAACAGCACGTACAGATTAATATATATATATCCACATATTTATTCATCTGGCTTTCAGTAGTTTCTTCAACTGGTGCTGAGCTGTCTACAGCAGCAGTTCTCTAAGGTCTTTGGAAACAGTCATCATACATGGATTGCTGCATAGATCAACCCTACAGAGAGAAATCTACTTGCTCTGTTACTGAAATTGAATACTTACTATACTGAACATCTGAATGCTTATCACTTCTTACACAGCATTGCCTATAAAAATCACTCTTCCATTTCTAATGAAGCATTCTTCCAGTCTTCACTGCTTAATGTTTCTCTCCAGGAGCACCAGCCTGTTCATAATATCACGACAACCCTATATTCAAAATGACACACAACAATCTGATTTGCTGGCTTCCTCATCTATTTCAACATTCAAATTATTATTATCCTTGTTTTTAAGTGATGCCACTGGATTTTCTCCAGGTTGCTCTAGCTGGCATCAGCCTTCTCTTCAACCTTTAGTATTTATCTTGTCCCTTTACAGCCCATCCAACAGCTTCAGCACAACCCTTTCTTCAGCAGCTCATAGCAGCCAAGAGCATACTCAACTCAATGATTTAATTGACTTCCTTTCCTCCCTTTGCCTTTCAAGTTTTATCATTGATATATCTCTCTCCCTGACCCATACCTCTTCGCTCCTTCTCTGCTCCTTATATCAGAACTCCATAAAGCATACTCAAATACAGTGTGTGTGAAAGACACTATATGAAGTAAAGCCAGAATGTGCTACTAGTCAAATCAAAGTACATGAAAGTTTATTGAGCTATAATGCAGTGCTTAAGATTATACGTTTCCATCATAAATTTGTCTAAACAGCTTTTGTACAATCTCATCTATTTGCTTTATTCATTTGGAAATGGATAGCTGCACAAGAAGAATGTGAAAAACCGTCAGAAAAGAATTAAAGAGTTGGAGGAGTGCATCAGTTTAAAAGAGCAAGCCAACTACAAGCTCAGCCTGGAGCTGAAAGAAATGCTTATCTCTGTTTCAGAAAGGAGGCATATCTTTGAGACAGCTGGTGAGTCACAGTAATGCACTTTAAATCACAAGCAAAGAATATTCAGAAAATATCTCCAAGGCTCGATGGCCCTGTTCTCCATCAGCATCAGCTAAGGGGCAAGGAGCACCTATTTATTACTGTATGTGCACAATTAGCAGTGCCCTTTCTAGCAGAACAGTTTAACGTTGTTTACTTGAGAGCATACCTAGAGATTGTTGGTCTTGTAACCAAAGCTAATTGACTAAATTGCTGAAACTATTTAAGTCAAAATATTATAGTCATTAGGCAATATGCTTTCATTCTTTCTCTGAAGTGTTCAACCCAGTTCTTTCCACCCACTCAAGGGAACAGAGGAAGGACCATGAAGCTGAGAAGGGTATTCACTATTAGGAAAACTGTAGAGGTTTTACTAGTGGAAAAGTTTTCAAAACAGTGGGTACTTGCTTGAAACTAAAGGATGCGTTCCCAGTACCTTTTTGAATTTTTTTACTTTATTCAGTACTATAAAGACTCTTAAACCCAACTGTGAGCCTTTTTTTAAAATGCTTGCCTATTTTATACAGAACTTGGAATAACCCCAGGACAGGTCCAGTATAGACTATGCATCCCCTGCAAGTACAGGCTAACCCTTACATTTTGTTTTATGCAGACACAGAGCATGTTTCTGAAAAGATTGCAAAGCGGCGTTACCAAGAGATTTTGAAGCAGAAACACCTACGGGGTCTCGTAAAGGAACAGGAAGAAGAGTTTGCAATTCTTCAGACAGAAGTTGAAAGACTGAGATCAAGAACATTCCCTGTTCTTTAAGGATCACAGACCACGTAGATGTATAATACCATGGTCTGGTCCAAGAAAAAGAGCTTGGACATCTACCTTTTCTCACTGAACTTTTCTTTCTACAAACAATCTCTTCTGTAATTTCTTTAAAAATAACTTCAGTTTGAAAGATGCATGTTTGTCTGGTTTGTACATTTTATACCTAGTCTTATCCCCACTGTATTTCATCTCATAAGATTTATTTCTGCTGTTTTGATTATATAAAGCATATAGCCTATTACAGAAAACAAAGGGTACAAGAAATTGTAGACCAACAGAAGAGCAGGCATATTTGTATATCCTTAGTCTGCAATATGCAAGCATAGAACATTTTCAATGCAAAGTAGTGCAAGCAGTCTATGAGTTTGTATCTGCTAAAATTCATGTCTGTGGCTTTGACTTAATTTTGCTTTTTAAAATATATTTACACCTGTGTTGGCACAGGTGTAGGTCACTGAGAAGATATGCTTCAGCATGACTCTATGTGCAACCTGGCCCAGTCCCGAAAGCTGCTGCTGCTTATGACAACATAATTAGCCACAGCCACCAGTAACTGTGGCTGCTGCCACTGGCAGAATCACAAGAAAACCAGGTTTGGAAGCATCTGGCCTCCTGAAAGAGTTGCTGCTGTCTCCCACCCCTTCACATTGATATGCATTATATTCTCGTGCCAGATCTCTTCAAGACAGATAAGATAAAGAACACTTGGTAAAATTACCAGTTACTTGGAGACTGATCTACCTACTCAGGCATCCTCATCCATTTTTATTTCCCTTCTCCATGGTGTGTGTCAATTCTTCTTCTCCTTTCATAAATTCATATAAAATCTAAACTCATTCCATTACAAAAGCATTAATAGCTTTGATACCTTAACAAAATTCTACACTTGTAAGGAAAACTACTGCTGTTGTGATCTTGTACACCACCTCCTTTTTTGCTTTACCATCCTTAATTGGGGTCCGTAAGGATTCTAAGTACTCCTCCATTCTTATTGCAAGATTTTTTTCTTCTGTTAAAACTTCCGTAGAAGCAGTATAAAACCAAATTTGCCAAGGATCTTGAAGAGAAACCACCCCTTCACCAGGCACCATCATCATTTTTTACTAAACCAGAGGCAGAATAAATAGCGTCTTAATACTCAAAATGTGATTAGCAATAACAGTTGTTCTTCATTAATTCTCTGTGAACAGCAACAACTGGTATTTTTAAGAGCAAATAGTGGGTATAGATTTAAGTCTATTGAGTCCTTATCATTGTTAAAAGGGTCTGTACAATCTTTGATTTTCTTTCCTAGAGATGTAAGAAATTACTCCCTTATTAAGGAAACAGGAAATGCCACCTGCAAACAAAACAGTTAAGGTACAACCAAGAAGGAATGACTGCATATAAAACAGTTTTCATGATGGGGAGAGGTGTATGTATTGTTATGGTTGACAAACAGTGATTTTAAGGAGAATAAAAGCAGACAGAAGTCACCACGCTATATGCATAGACCATGATGAGTAAATAAACAATTTCAAGGAAAGATAAAAAAAATTTTAAAAAGACATTTATAGGAGGATAAGTGAAATGCTTAAGTTTTATTCAGCTTTATGATGCTATATTTGAAGCACTCCCATTAGACAAGGCCTTGGTTTTCTTATTTATTTGAAGAGAGAAAACACCTTGGCTCTCACATGAAGTAGTAGAGTAGACAGATGTTAGTTGCAATTTTCTTGCGTACCCTTCTATCATCTCAGGCTGCTACAGAATGTTTAAGAGACAGCTTCCCTGAAGACAAATGTCTGGACCACTATCTGAAAATAACTGCATTATGGCCCATTTCCCTCAGTAATAAAGCTATTGAAAACATCTCATTGCAGCATCAGGATATTAACAACATGAAAATTAGTTATCTTTACTTAACTCACAAAATGCTGTTATTAACTGACAGCAGAAAGACATTTGTAAAATGGGGATGTGTCTGTGAACAAAGAACTGCACTCTTCTCCGTCTGAATATCAACATAAATGACAAATAGAGTTCATTATTTCAAGACGAGTAACCATGCAAAGACTAATCAAAGAATGGACTGCCTTCTACCTGTTAAAGTAGGACTTGATTTAATCTTATTAAATAACAACTTACCGATCAAGTTAAGCCAGGTTTTCCAAAACTGCATGAGTTCAATCTTTTCCATTAGGTAATGCCTTTTACAGTGCCTGCTGTACATAGCTTCACAAATACCTCCTGAGAAAACCTCCTAACCTCAAAGCATGAAGTCCACCGTCTGATCAACACTTCGGTGATCAGAATTCATTCAGTCTTTTCTGCTTTTGTGTGCATGTAATTGAAAGCTTTGCACCTGCAGATTATGCATCTACAAAATCTTCTTCTGCTCTGCTGTAGTGCAATAACTGGTCTTCTAATCCAAAACTATCTATCAGCTGAGTGAGACTCACTTTCTTGCCATCTGCAGAAAAGGCTGACTGTAGTTCATACAGCATCAGCTGGGTGCTACTTCTCCATTTCACTATCAAAGCCTGCAGTTCAGACAGGTTGTTCTGAAACAAAACAAATTTTGTTATTTGCTGAAACATGGGGGGTTTTGATAACCTGCAGATCCATTTTTATAAAATGCCTTAAACTGAGACAATACACAAACACTAAAAAAAAAAAAGTGAGTCAGTATTGTTGCTTAAATTAATAAATAAGGATTACACTATGAATTCCACATCAAAGAATGACTTGAGTGCTTTTTCAGAGGTTCGTCTTACCTTAGATCGATACATCTTAACCAGCTTAAGCCTTCGAAGCAGTTCTTCCTTCTCTTGTACTTGTTTCACCAGTCTTACTTTTTCTTCCAGGGACTGCTGCTGACTAACATCAACCTGTAGCACATCAGAATTCTCTGCTGATACACAGAGACCACTCTCCTGTAAGGGACTTTTGAAACATGCATGTCCAGTGCTGCTTCCTTCTGGACTTTCAGAACCATCTTGTAATCTGGAACAATCTGTACTTGTCTTTGGCAGGCAACCTTTGTCAACATGAGAACAGTCTTTTTCTTCAGTGTCTACTTTGAGCCGCTTTGCCACTGTAAAATTAGCATTAAATGAACGTCTTGTTTTCCTTAATCGCTCCCTCAAAGCTGCACTCATTGGCTAAAAAAGAATTGAACAAAACAAAAAAAACAGAAGGATCAGAATAATCTGATTTTTGATCAAATTTCAAATAACTGTTTATCCTGGTTATTATTTACACAGAATGTGTCATACATGTAAATATCATTGTGAAGCCAGACTTCCTAATTCTCTCTACAGCTTTCACAAACTTGAACAAAATTAACTTCCTCCTTTCACATGTATTTGCACGCACAGCTGAAAGATATGGAAAGATGTACCTCTGCATTTTCTAGGAACAAATCCTGTGTTCTACTGAAGCAAACTTACTCCTCTAGTCTTCGTGCATAAGATATACAGCATATTTCAACTTGGCTAATTTTATTCCACCAAGTTCAATTTCCCCCTCTAGTTTAATGGAGATAAGGGTTGGGGTTTTTTTCTGTTCCATCCCACCACATACACACTTTCTGTATTAGCACCAGTTTAAAGCATCCATATTTTACTTGAGAGTATTAGAAATCACCTATACAATTTTGGCTTGTTCATGCTTAGATGGTTATCAGTGAAGGACTCAAAAGTGATTTTTTTTCTTCTTCAAAATAAGTTAACAGGTTTTTTTTTTTATAATCCGTGTCTAACATTTTGACCTGTGAAAATATACTAAAATATGGAAGAGAAGGATCAGTTAAGGAACACTTGCAAACTAGCCCTATCCTGCATGGGTCCAGATGTTTTAGTATTTAAAGGGTAGCTACAAAGAAGATAGACTCCCTTTTTTACAAGAAGTCACATGGAAAAGACGAGAGCTAATGGGTATAAGTTATTCCTGGGGAGATTCCAACTGGACATAAGAGGAAAATTTTTCACAATGAGAACAATCAGCCACTGAAATAATCTCCCCAATTAAGTGGTGGATTCCCCAACACTGGACACTTTTAAGATTCAGCTGGACTGGGTGGTGGGCCATCCTGTCTAGACCGGACTTTTGCTAAGAAAGGTTGAACCAGATGATCCTTCCAACCTGGTATTCTGTGATTCTATGTAGAGCATGACAGCATCACCATAATGCATGCTAGGATGAACACTAGAGATCAGCATTATGGAGCATACACAAGCTGAAATCAGTGTACTTTGTTCAAGTGCAAGCAGAAGTCACAGGAAGTCATTCTGCATACACAGTAACCCAGAACACTAGGATTTGAGAAAACACAAAACAAAACCCAAAACTCCGCCACAAACCCTAAATAGTATATAAATATATTAGTATGGCATTTGGGTTATACTGCTCTATCACTTTGTATTCACAGCAAACAGCTGCATACCCAGAGCAAAATATACCAAGGACATTCCTTACCTGGACAACCTTGTAGCTCTGGGTATAAGCTACCTACCTTTAGCCTTCCAGCAAACAGTATTTCAGTGACTTCCAACTACTTGATGACCTCACAAGCATTTTTGTTACTATGAAGAGTCACATTACTGGAAAAACAAATAAGTTTTCATACCTGTTTCCCTGAACTAGTCCCCTGTGGAGCTGCCGTCCCAGAAGCCTTTGGAGTACAGCACAAAGATGGCAATTTATCAAGCACTGGTTCTTCCATCTCGAGATGGATAGCAGTTTCTGTTAAAAGACGAAACGAATTATGTGTGTTGCCCTTTTCACCTGATTTCAATGAGCATGTGGCTGCAGAAATGAGTAAAAAGCTCTAATAAGAAATACTAAGGGTTATTTTTTTAATTGGTAAGTTAAAAGAAGGCATCTGCATAAGTTGCACAACTGTTTCATGGGCTAAGTAACATCTTGCTTTGTGAATGGCTTTTCTTCAAAAGGATGAATGACACTACTAACTGGTGTAAAGTATCTTACTGTGAATTTTGTGTGTTATTTTTCCCCTCAAAGCTCCACGAATTTTTTTTTTAACAATAAGTCCTAAAGGTATTCTCCATTACATTTTTTTTTTTTCTATCTGATACCCTCTTTCAAGTGTCAAAAGGAGTCAGACAACTCATGAAGCCACTGAACCCATTATAGTATGCTTATAAATCCATGGTCAGATCCTGCAACATCAAACTCATTAAAAAAGCTCACTCCAAACAAACTGTATTTTCTTAACCTGAATGACCCTCACTGCTTATCTAATTCAAATGAATAATCCTTACTAAGCCAGGTTGTGAAGAACCAGTCCTTTAATTGCATCCCAAGTAGTGATAAAAGGATTGTTGGGAGCCACAAGATTTTTATATGTATAAACAATCTTTTCTATAAAACAAAATAATTGGGCACCCAGATCTGTGAAAATAACCCACTGTCTCATTTGATCCTTCAGAGGATGCTGCTTTAAAAAGTAATTACTCACACAAGTAGAATTTTAGATTAAAAGTAAGCATCCCCAGTTTGCTCAGTAAAGAGCCTTAATTAAAATTATAGGTCATACCTCCCAGCATGTACCAACTTAAAATTGATTTGGCAATGTTTAACTTAGTTTAGCACTTGTGAACCACCTGCTAATGACCAAACTGCAGCTGGAAAATCAACACCTACACCTCTGTTTACCTGCAAATTGCAATTAGGAGTTCAAAACAGAAGCCTCTTAAAAATAAAATCCTGCAAACAAGTCACTAGATGACACAAGACTGGCATAAGGGGCTTCCTCTGCAGAGATGAAACATAGCAAAGCTTCTGCATGTGAAAGCTTTACAAACCCAGCAACCCTGGGCTCTACATGAAAGGACACAGGTCCTCATTTATCTTACAAGTCAGCATTCCCCCCAGTTGCTCAAAATTCAACATACAGTGTTCTATTAAAAAAACAAAACAAAACAAACAGATTTAAGTAAAGAAAGTCTAGTTAGTTTGATATTTTAGTAATCTATCAATTAAACAGGAAGCTCACAGCACCCATTAAATATTATGCAAGTTATCACTATTATGTCTTAACGTAAGCAAGAGCCTAAAAAAAGCTACATCATGCCTATGTATATAGTATGTCACAAACATGTAACAGATCTTACAAAGCAGCAAAATAATTTGAAGCCAAAGGGCTAGCTTCAACAGATTTGCTCAACTTAAAAAAAAAAATAAATCCTGTGACTGCCTTTACATTCTAATACAAATTATTTTTCTTCAAATAGCCATGACTACAATGAATACTTTTTCTGATGGTTCACTGTTACTTGATCTCAGCTTGGTAGCACATTCGTATAGATCTCCTGCACTCTTAAAACCCTTCCCCAAGATCTCAGACAAAGAATCCTTTACATTTTTCAAGCAGTGATGCTGTTTATCACACATAAAAATAATTCCGTGCAGAAAGTAAGGAAAACTTGGGCCAGGAGAGGAAAAGACAATTTCGCACTTCAGTACTTACTTGATTTTGCTCTCTGGGTAAGTCTCTGATACTACATGCCCCAGTTTGCCTGCTTATCACTACATTATGTAGCAGCACCCACTCCTTTTACATTCTCCTCGCACCAACTGAAGGCTTTGTTAACACTTAATAACAACTTTTCCCTGGCTACTTTTCCACTCTACAGCGAATCAGACAGCAGGCGCGGCAGCCCCGAGGCAGAGCCGGGGAGCCCTTTCTGAGGTGATGCACCCCAGAAACGGAGCACAACCACAGCCCAAGCCAGAGGCACCCGCTACCCTCAGGGAAAAGGACAGCGCAGCCTCAGGCCCTCCCCAGCGCCGCCGGCAGCCCCGCCGGGCCCGCGCTCCAACCGCCCGCTTCCGGGGGGAAGGGGCGGTGCCGGGGGGCTGTGCGCTTGCGCGCAGTGTGTAGCGGTGTGGGGCTGCGGGGCGGGAGGGCGCGCGAAGCGTGTTCCTGCAGTCGGGAGGGCGGGAAATGCGGGGTCGGACGCTGCTGCCGCAAAGGTGCTGGGCAGAGCAGGGATTGTGGAGCCCCCAGTACGGGGCATCCCTGGGGACCTAGTGCATAATTCTCTTGCTGTTGGGCATGCAAGGCCGTGCTGTGTCCCTTAGGCCAGCATGGGCCAGCCACCCCAAGGCCAGGTACCATCTCAGTGCAAGTGTCACTGTGCCAGAAAGGGGAGCTCCAGGCTCGTCATGGAGTGCTCCCCACCATGAGTGGCAAGGCAGGCCCCGGCACAGCGAAGGGGATCACAGCTCTCCACATCAACCCACCCATCACCTCTACTTCAGATACTATAACCTCACAGCGGCAGAAAAAACTACCCGAGGAACACACAGGGAGAAGTGCAATCTGAACAGTGCTGTCTTGGTTGTGAGGGCAGGAGGAAGAAGTGAAAATGAAGAAACTCAACTGGAAAAACAGACAGGTAGATTATGATGGTGAGAAGGAGCAGCCCCAGGTGTAGTTGGCAGTCACACAGTTCGGAACAGGATTAGAGTGCCCCGATGCTCAAAGGCGCTGCTGACGCAAGAATGAGTTTAAGTATCAGCAAACTTCCATGCTGCAAACCTTGCTTTTCCACGTGGATTTACATTTCTCAAAACTGATTTGTACAAAAGGCTTTTCCAATGTAACTGTCAGGACTGAGCAAATGAGCTGCGGGAGCTGTACTGGCGGCGGCTCCTCCAGCACGGCCCACAGACGCGCTGCTCCGTGCTGTGCACTGAGGCCTCACGCAGCTGTGCGGAGCGTTGCACGTGGAATACACGCACCCACATGCTCTCGCTAGATCATGCCCTTAAGTTCTGTAGCAGAAATGCATTAATTTCCTGCCTGGTTCCTCCTCAACAATGAAAGCTGAGGATGTTTGATTTTCTCTTCGTCTTGTGCTACTCTGACCTGTATTGAGAAAAGATACACTCTTGCACTGAGAGGTGAGTAAGCACTGAGTGTAGGTGTGATAATATATTGGCAGTTGCTGTGCTTTTGGCCGTAAGTATACACAGATTCACTCTTTTCAAATAGAATTTCACTGGGATGATGGCAACCTTTTTCTCTCCTACAGTAAAAAGTGTCAAAGCATTCAAACCCCATCTAGAACAAGTCACTTTGGGAGATCTGAGAACTTGGGGCCTTTAGAATACTCCTTGTGTAGAAGTTGACTATCTGTGGGTGAAATTTATTTAGAAATAATATTCTCAGTAGCAAATGTGAGAAGACTGTATGACTAAGTTGTATGATCTTTTATAACCATCTAGCAAAAAAACCTTGCACAATACCTCAAGTGTTGAGGAAGTTTGGAGGCATTTTTTAAACCTGCCCCCCCCCTTTTTTTTTTTAATACCTGCAGCTAATTTAATGTCATTAATATTTTAATTTTTTAATATGTTAGAAATGGACTCCTGAGTGCAACACTAAAAGTGCTAATAGAACTTCTGCTGCAAATTTATTAAGTGGGTTAGATCTCAAATACACCAGAGCTTTGAGATGGCACGTCTCCAAGTTCACAATGTATTTCCTTCTGTCTCAAGGATGGTCCCTGCTTTAAATTACTCATGCTCTGTTGTACAGACATGTTAACAGTTGAGTTGCACAAGAACAACAGAAAGTTTGAGATTTTAGATCATTTGCCAGCTGAGATTCCAGTAAGATTTTACAGGAACATAACATGTGAAAAAGTCATCCTGTGCATTATCATTGCTACTTTATTAGAGCAACGCCCACATGCCCTATCCCAAGTGAGGAGATTACAGACTGCTTGAGACTCTGAATATAGAAAGACAGTTCCACACATTGGGTTTATGAGTTTAATGTACTATGCATAGAGAAAAGGAAATATCAATATTCACTGATGGGTGATCACTCTAGGAAGATATGTTTCAGGTTGGTATTAAGTGTTTGGCTGTGTTTACCACATTTACCTATGGGTTTACTTGGTGTTTACACATAGTACTGCAAAAACATGACTTGTCGAATACCTGGCAGGAGGTCCCTATGGACCTGGGAACTACTGTCATCAGTCACTATGCAGTGACTATCCAGTACTTTTATTGCAGAGACCCAATAGTGACGGATATGTTATCCGCAACTTAATGATGGCAAACAGGAATCAGACTAAAACCTCTCTCTAAAAATGTGCGCATCTGTTTCCTTTGAGGAAAAGAGATTATCTATGGGTTATTGATACTGACATGTTTATGGCACACTGTAGAGTGTTTCTTATACTGTTCAGTTAAACTTACTGCTACGTGCACACAGCTAGCAAGGTCATTGCAATACAGTCTTTATTAAGCACTATAATGCTATTGTGTGATTATTTTTTTTTTATTCCTTTTGTGATCAGAATAGTTTGGGGTAAGCAAAATAAAATTAAAAAACGCATAGGAAATCGTGCACTGGGTAACAAAATGACTGAGTTCTATTTGCCGAACATACTGCTTCCCTTCAGAGAAACTTGTTTCCCCAAGGAACAAGAAGGAAAATGTGCTTCCTGGTTTTATTTTCCTTGGCGCTTCTGTGATGACATTTTAGTGATTGGATTGTTTTTTTTATTTTTTGTTTGTTTACACCACTTTGTCTGCACAATTGAAAGATATTCCCTATGTATCATCTCTTTCATTAATCATATATTACCAGAAGAGCACTAGGAGTCACACATCACCACTGACAGGACAAGAACATGTTATATTCCCCTATGGGCATCGTCTGTAGTAGCAAAGCCAAAGTGGAAAGTAATAGTAAAGGATACAGACTTTGGGTTTAGAGACTCCAGTTTGACCTTTATGGCTTTTTCTCTTCCAGAGTGCCAGGAGCATCACAAAACTTCCATTTAACAGCTGGGCACAACAGCCAGGCCTGTTCTCCCTAAACATTGCCAATGAGTAACTAAGATGTTAGTCAACATACTAAGTCTTAAAGCACATATGTGTTACCCCCTTCTCTCATTTTTCTGAAATCTGTTGATCTTATTTAAAGCCAAATGGTGTATCCTGATGCATGAAGTACACTCTGCACTGTCTGCATATTCTCTCTCGCCTGAGGCAGGAGGGTGGAGTGTTTTTATGTGTCTAACCACTAACTGCTGCAGAAATTTTTAAAATCCTACCCACTTCAGCATAGGCCTAGGGCTGTATTTTTGCTGGCTGCAATTTACTCCTAAGAAAAATGTTCTGACTTGCTTATAGCTGTGTAAATATATTGAGGGAAGGTCTTTATAGATCAGATTCCTGGAAGAAAACCAGTCTGCTACAACAAAAGCTGTCGTTGGGAGATAGATTCTGCTCTCATAATGGTGCAAGTGTCCGGTAATTACAGTGAAGTCACTAGAATGATATCAGCATGAAGCTAAAGCTAAAGCTAAAATTTTATTGCTTTTTCTGCTTTACATCTGGGGTTTGCTTCAACTATCCCTTATTTTTTACTTCAATTTTCAAAGTACCTGTCTTGAAAAGAAAAAATGACATAATTTATTGTAGCTGAAGGGCATTGCAATTTGCCATTACAAAAGATAATATAAGAGTCAGCTGAGATGGGCTTCCTAGTTCTCGCTGCTGGATGTGTAAATAGCCAAGTGGGTGAGGCACAGTGCTAATCAAAGGGAAAGGCATAAGACTGCCTCTTATTTTTGTGTCTGCTTGTGGGATTTTCTCTGAAATAGTCATGCCAAAAATTACAGTTTGAAGTCTTTACGAGACTGTTGCAGACAAATGAAACAATAAACAGACCTTCAATGTTCTTGTCTTTGCTGGAGAACTGATTGATCATTATTTTAAGAATGTTCAAGCCTTTTAAATCCAAGCCCTTGCCCAAACTAGTCCCTGGTACAGCTTTTGTCATCTGTGATGCTCTGAGCATATATTTGTGTTAAATGTTTTTGGATTGTAGTGGAGCTTGAAGAGTCATTTAATTTTCTAATATACTTAATACAAAAGTTTGTTTCATGCTGTGCACATGTGACTCTTAGGTTGCTCACATTTGTTTGTGCTACTGAAATTAGTGAAGCTGAAAAACTGGACATGGTTGATTTGCAAGTGCAGATGAGCCAGTTTAAGGGCAGTTACCCATAGTCTGGAGGCCTTGGGTGGACCCAGTGGGTTAAACTGTGGTACCAAACAAGTTATCCAGTGAGCAGGTAAGCACCGGTGGAGATGCACATCTCACCGCCTTCTTGGACTCCTTGGTGTTTCACTGTTACTCTGAGTGTAGACATGAGTGAGCAATGTCCATCATCACTTCGGCAGCATCACTGGTTATTGTCTTGTTTTAGAACAAATAACCATTCTACTGAGCACACCTCCTTCCCTACCAAACTGCATCATCAGCAGGCAGGATTTATAAAATACAATTCCTTCCTGTTATTAAGATACAAATTAGGTCATTTACCCGAGGCTAGAGAAAGCCTTATAAAGTAAAAATTTAGAGGTCTTTTCCTAAGAATGAAATATGAATGTGGTGTTCATGGGACTTTTCCATCTCTGCATACTGCTGACAATAAAGTTGTATCTAGAGGGCTGAAATTTCAGTGTGGAAATGTTGTCAGGCACTGACCATGCTTATGTTGCAAACCAGGCTCACGGGTGAATATGCTGGCTTAAAGATCTCTCGTGTTTTCCTGTTCATACAAATAGTAACATACATAACGTTTTAAGTGTGCATAATTGTTGTGATATGAGGGATATGTCTGTGTATTATTCATGCAAACAAAATCACAGGTCTAAGGACAGCTGCCTCAGGATTGTGAGGCAGGCAGTTCACCAAGAATTGTAAACATATATGAAGCTCTTACTTTTTAGTAAAAAGGTTGAAGCAAATTCTTTAAAAGTCAAAAGACATAAGGCACTTACAGGCAATGGGAACT